TGGTGCTCTGAGCAGTCGTATGCTAAGTTTTTGTATGGACGTATGCTTTCAGTTCTCTTGGGCATATACCTAGGAATAAAATTGCTGGGTCATATGACAACTCTGTGTTTCACTTTTTGACTAACTACCAAACTGTTGTCCACAGTGGCTGCATCATACTATATCGGCTTCACCATTATACATTCCCACCAACCTAGATTTTAAGTTATACAAAATAACAAGTGAAGTGGCCTACAAATAAACTATCTGAGAGCCAACATACTAAAATAGTTACTATTTGTATTTTAATGTGACTTCTCTGAAGGAAAAAGAATTGAAATTCATAAAATGAATAACTTTTCTGTTGAATCAGATCCTCAGAAATCCAGTAGAGGGGATTTAGCTTTGGGTCTTCCCTAAAAGCTGATGTCAGTTACAGATTGGCACTTGCCCTTGGCGCTTGCGGTCTACCTCTGCAAGGATTAAATCATGCTGCAGCATGCTGACTTTCAGCAGCCCCCAAAAGGAGCTCAGGGCAGAGAGCAGAGATGAGGCGCTCTGGGAAAAACTGGCAGAACAGCTCTTCAGATAGTTAGATATTTTCAGGAGCCGACTTTATGAGCCCAATTCTTGTATCTCCTCATATCTAGAAAAAGCACTAAGATCCTTCATGGTGACATCTGCTCCTTGTGACTAGCAGTAACCTTCACAAGACTAGCAGAAACCTTCTGCAAAAAATATGCGCTTGATTGCATGTACTCCCCCTTCACCCAAATCACATGTATACTGACCTTCTCCCCAGCCTCTTTAGGGCAGTTTCTCAGAGCTATCTGAAATGCTGTCTCCCAGACTGTAGGCCTCATTTTGCCCCAGATAAAACATAACTCGCGATTCTCATGTTGTGCATTTTTTTAAGTCGACACTGAGGAATATTATTTTTATCTATGCATGACTGAGAACTTAGGATGTTACGTTAGTATTTACTTTCTGATGCCAATGAAAATAGTAGCCTATAAATTGGCACTTCACCCTCAAATTATACTGGTGTCTGGGCCCTCGTCTTGTTAGAAAAAAAAACTGGCAGCTTCCATTATTATTCATAAAATGATCACATGTAGATTTGGCATACTAAATATAATATATGACTGCATACTTGAATGTAAAGTCGTAAGAGCTCATGTTTTCTCTTTTCGTATCAGAAACAGTAAATGATACCTCCATGGGTAATACAAATGAGGAAAAAAGCCTTAATAGATGTTGTATAAAGTTGCATGAGGTTAAAAAAAAAAATGACCAGTTTTCTAGCTTAGATGATACAACATATCACATTGCAATAATAGGAACAGTGCTAACTGAAACATAAACGTTTCTATAGGAATAATGCAGCAGTGTCTCTCGTTTGCCTACCTTAAACTCAAGTGATTGCTGAGAAATTCCTTTCTCCTCACCAGAACCAAGCTAATTGTTCTTCACCCTCTTCTGACTTCATGCAACTGCAAAGTCGAGATTTTGTGACCCTGACTTCCATCCCTACCTCTGACACCTTCCACCCCATCAGAGACATGGGGGGAGGAACATGAAGTTGGGGGGTAAAGCAGAACTAATTGGAGACCCTGGTTCACTGACATTTACCAGGCAGAGGATGCTGGACAAACTACTTAACTCCTTCAACCTCTCTGTTCACATGTAAAATGAAGGAACTCATCATACTAGTTTACAGCATTGTTGTGACTGGTAATGACTTACAACAGTGCTTTGAAGGTAGTAAGAGCTACATAGGTGTTTGTTAAGTAAATTAAGTACCACTTTCATTGACTGCACATAACAAGTACTCAAGAAATAACTACTGTTATTCAGTCACTACACAAATATTACTTGACCACCAGACCCTCCTCTAGGCACTGGGGATACAGTCGTGATCAAGACAGACCAAGTTCCTTCTCCAAGGAGCTTACATTCTAGTAGGAAAGACAATGAATAAATATGTAAATTAATAGCCAGTCATAGTAAGTCCCATAAGAACAGTGAAGTAGTTTATGGGGTGGGAAAGTAGGTGAGGGGGGAGGGCACACACTGTGGTACTGTTTTAGAGTGGTCAGTGAAGTCCTTTCTGAGGAAGTGACATTTAAGTAGAATTGCCGCTCACCTCGCTTTCTTTAGTATTTGCTCCTTGACTTCTCCCTTCACATTTCACATTTTGGTGGCTTTCTCTTGTGCTCCTGATGTCCCTATTTGCCTCAAAATTTGATTGAGGAAAGAGATGGAATCAGGAAGTTTTTCTGATCTGTAGCTCAATATACTAAGGAAGGGTTTAAATGTTCAAGTTCTGAGTTTGTCTTTGTTCTGAGTAAACATCCTTGCCTTGCTCCCAGAGGAAGGGTATTGGGCTGGCAACCTCGTGGTCACATTTTATTTGACCACCATAATCACCTCTGTTAAGTTCATGTTAAACTCAAAACAACAAAAATGCTCCTGGCTATCATTTATTAAGTGCCAGACACTGAGCAAGGGGGCTTACAAGTGTTTTGTCATTTAATCCTCACAGCTAACTTTATGAAGTAAATATTATGTCTCTTAATTACAGATGAGTGAAGAGACTTTATCCAAAAGCAGACAGCTAATAGTAGCAGAACCAGGATTCAAGCATAGAACTTTCAAAGCATCCACTCTCTCTAGCACCCTTATCTGCCTGCAGTGATCATTATCACTGTTCTCATTAATTCCATACTAGAAGAGTAAGATTACATGGTTTAAAATATAATGTATTATATATTTAAGGATTTGATGTTTGCTTCAGTTAGTAATTTTTCTATATTAGGTATTAAGAAAATACGGTAATTTTAAAATTTACCTTTAATTGAACAACTACTTTTCATTCAAATACAGTATTTCCCTAATATGTACCAGGCACTGTTCTAGGTGCATCATCTATTTTTCCTGTATATACATTTAATATACACTATAATCCTCAAAAGATAGATATTTATCCTTATTTTATAGATGAGAAAACTGAGACACAAAGTGATCAGCTAAGTATCCAAAGTTAAACAGTACATGATGGAGCCAGACACTGGGTCTGTTTATTGCAGGGGCTTAACCTACATCATTCTCCTTCACAGAGAAATGAAAAGATGCAGTCTCGGTTCTCCAGAAGCAAAGCCAAAGATACCATCAGTGTAGGCTGATAGATCTAATAATTTACATATACATGTTACAAATTTTATCTCATTTAATCTCCACAGTAAGCTATATCAAATGGTGGTAGTGGCAGAATGATATAGGTGGTATTATTAAGTGTTAGTATTAGCTATCTGCTACAGTATCTGCCATTCACAGCAGACTGATACATGCTATCTAAAGGATCAGACAAAGGTGAAGAATCAGACAAGATGCTGTGAGAACCCAAAGGGAGAAGGGGAATACTTGCAGTAGGATCTTAGTACTTGAAGGGGAGCTTAGCTCAGACATTAAGAAAGCTATCATTTGACCTGGGCTTTGAAAAAGAAAACTGGCTCCTATAAAGGTCTCTAATGTTATCCCCAGTTGACAGAGGGTGTATCTAAGAGGAGTAACTTGGTCGCATAGCTAGTTGACAGGGCAGGGCTTATAATTTGGAGTCAGACGTACTACCATTGCACCACGAGGTCACTATAATTTGGTTTACCTTCCCCTTCACCTAGCACCCTGATCCTTGTGTCGAACAGCATACTAGGAAAGACTCATTGGCCTTTTGACATCTCTTTCTGAAGAAAGCTGAGTCCCTGAATCTGTTGGACTCCAGAAACAAAGTATGTAAGGTTAAAGGGAAAAGAGAAGTCACAAGAGATCAGGGTCAGCCAGATCAGCCACTCCTTAAGAGTCAAAAGATCCTGAATCTGCCATTGATTTTCTGTGTATGTGGCCTTGGACCTCGCTCTCCTTATCTGCAGAATAATATATAGGCCAGTGTTTCTCAAACATTTGCATGCATCTGAGTTACCTGGAAGGCTTCTTAAAACAAAAATTGCTGGATCTGGGATGAAACCTGGGTTTTTGTATCTAACATGTTCCCAGGTAATGCTGATGCTGCTAGATCAAGGACCAAACTTTGAGAACCACTGATCTCTTCTCTGAGATCTTATTTCCTCTCTAATTCTCTACTTAAAAACTGCTAGCATAGAAATCAGGAGGTCTGGACAGTATAGTTACACCTCCACTAAGTATGCTACCTTGAGCAGTCGCTTAACGTTTCTCCGCCTGTTTCTCCATCAGTAAAGTGGGACTCACAATTCCCTGTGGCATAGGATGAATGAGAAAACTTTCTCATTTGAAGGAAACCCCTTTTGAAAAGGATAAATTACCTTTTTGTGTAAATTGTGTAACATATCCATTTGTTAAATGAAGATTCTACCTTCAAAGTGAAAAAACAATAGAAAATGTCTCTTTTCCCTTTTTTATATAAAGAAAAAGAAGCTTATTGCAAAAGGAAGTGTACTCAATGGAGAATGTACTTAAAATCCAAATGACCCATGAGGGACCCCATCCCGTTTGGAGATAAAAGTTTCCCTGACATCCGTTTAACAAATTAATAAAAAAAGAACATAAATAAAAGAGAATAATAACTTAGGGCTATCTGGGCACCTGAGTCTGTGAGCCCTTTAGGGCCTTGGCACCTAAAGAGAAAGGGAAAAAAGATCCTGTTCTCTGAGGCTTTGAAAGTGCCTTTCCTTGAGGCATTAGGGAAGCTCTGGGGGCCCTAAGAGCTGAAGGGCTGAGAAGCCTGGGGCATGAGTCTATTTGATCCAATAAAGAGCCAGGAAAAAAAATGGCTGGTAAGTAATTTTGCTATTTCATTTGGTGCAAAAGAGAAGGCAAAACACCAGAATATTCAATGAGCCAAAGCACAAAATGTGGTATGGATGTGAATGCAGGCTGACCCCTTCTCAAGAACATTTCTAAGCCTGAATGAAGCACTCACTGTGGAGGCTAATGGACAATAGCACGCATCTTAAAGCGTAATGACCCTTTTGTTTTTCTGATAGGCGAAGATGAGGACGAATTTGAGAATTTCATGCTGCCTCTTACAGTCTCTTTTGAAACAGTGTTACAGATATTCAATAACAACTTTAAACAAGAAGATGTAAAGGTGGGTTTGTTTCCGAACATGAGAAAAGATGATTTTGTTCATTCTAGGATGTATAGATTCAGAAAAAGGTCTGCATATTTGTGTGTGCTTTGTGCTTCATCAATCTTAATTTCCCAATTGCATGTGTCTTTGAGTTGTACTTTTCATACAAGTACTTTTCTAGTTTCTTATACAAATGGACTTTGAGGTTATCGAATGATTTCAGAGAGCTTATGATTAGATGATGCATTTGTCTCTCGTGGCAATATCTTTTAAAAGAACATTTCTCGTGGGTACACCACTTTAAACGTCCCTATTCCCTCATCTACCCCACACTATGTGTTTCAACATATTTATATGGAGGAATGCACAAATGTACACATGCTAAAATACTACATCTCTAAATATTTTTAAACAAGAATTTGTATAAATCAAGACTTTATTAAATGGCTAGGCATATATGTATAAATAGGAGCTGGTCTTGAAGTATTGCATTCTTAAACTGAACAAAGTGATTAGGGTAACTGATAGCTAAATAAGGTTTTTATGTGCCTGTGGGAGCCATATTAGGATTGATTTGACAAGTCAGTTCAGCTGTGGCAACAGTCATAATATCTAAGACAACATTATGTTTTATTAGTAAAATCCTTAAGTGTAGCAAGCTGTTTGTGACAAAACAGCCCCATATTTTAATATGGGGGATGGGGAGCACAAGATCTGCTAAATAGGAATAACATCTTCTGAAATTCTGATGTATCAGGGCTGTATTAAATAGATTGACACTGGTTATTATTCTTAAAAGACTAATAAATATATACCGAAAATGTAGGCACCTTTGTTGGTGATACTTGAGTCATGTTTTATTGTTATTTGAAATGTGTTGAAAATATTGACGGTCATTTTGCATGGCTCCTCTTCTCTCTACCAAAAAAAAAAAAAAAATTAGCAGTAAGAAGCCAAATAGAAGAATGATGGCCTTTGGTGATTATTTAGTGTAATTCTTGTACTAAAAAATAATTAACTAAATACTGTACCTTTTATTTTGACATAGAGTTTTTGAAATGCATGTTTATCAACATGCAATAGTCATAGAATTTTTAAAACCGAAAAAGGATCTTAGAGATTTTCTTTGTGTTTATAGTGTTGCTGAAATTCTTCACCAGAGTTTCTACTCAGGTTAGCTATATTTTTTAGATGTCTCCCAAATATTTTTAATGACCAGAAAAATCTTTGCAACTTTAAGGTGGTTATTGCTGCCCTTTATATCAAAAAGAAGCCGTGAGGTTGAAAAACACTATCTTTATAAAAATTACATTTGTCTCATTTGAAGATTTCATTATACTCCAAGCCCGTTTTGATGTAATCCCATCTAGTTTGATAGAAACCATCTTCCTAGAGTCATTTTTAATGGAGTTCCTGTGATATATCCCTAAACCAGCAAGTTCTTAACGACCCTGGAAAGTGACTGCTTGATTACACTTTAACGGTATTTGCAAATAAAATCACAAGTAATTAAGGGGAAATCTCCAGGCTTTTGAGCAAGTTTGATGCATGATAACTGCCTGATTCAGCTTCATCTAGAGTAATGCTGTGTAGGCAACAGCTACTGAGATCAATAGCAACGTAATGATAGTGGCAGAATTAAGTGAGTAACCTGAGAACTGTGCCTCAGAATGCATGCAGCTGCCACGAACCAAGGCCACACAGTGCACTCCGTGCTTCCGTCCTAAATGTTCATCAAAAGACGCCCTGCAGGAAAATGGAGTTAGATGCTCTTTATTGCTGATCGTGTCTCTTGCCACATTTATCAGGGAAATTGGATTAGCAGTTGGCAGCTGCAGGTAGACAAGATTCTGCAGTGATTAAATATGCAGCTTGGCTGCATTTGTTGTGACAGACCTTTAGTAAATTCTACTGTAAGCACCATCTGTCTAATTTGTATAAAGAAAACTTGGTGCTTTAAGCTACCGATAAAGAACTAAATCTGTTGCTTTATCATAAACAAAACTTTTGCAGTAAATGCTTTTAAATGTAATTTATTAGGTTAAGCCTATTTTTCTATCATGATGAATAAATAATACATGCAGAAGTGCTTTCAGGTACTTCATTTTGCAAGTACTAGAGATAAAAACAGTTCTGTTTTGTTCTTCAATGAAGTATTCAGTATTCCAATCCACAGGAGGTAATGCCGTTAAAATATCTCTATGAAAATGCTGCAGGACTGCCAAATTCATTTAATTTGCAACCCTTACCAGGATTTTCTAACTGCCTACTTATTGATAGATATTTTTCAAATGCGGATTTCAGGATAAACATAAGCATTAAGGACCTACACTGCCAAATTGAAATATGGTTGTGAGAGAAGGAAATGCTGTAAAACTCTTAAATTTACAGCTTTGTTTTCTTACTTAGTCCTAATAAAATTGAAGAGAACATTGAATTTTTGTCTTGGGTTTCTCTTTTCAAAGGAAAGGGAAAAAGAAAGAAATTGCTCTGACAAACCCTGGCTCTAAAGCGTTAGTTCACAGTACGTGTTTCCCCCCTGTGATTGTACCCATAGTAAAATATAGTCCAGTACTCTGACTCCCCATGCATCATTTTTGTTTTGGCCATGACGTCATCAGTTTTAAGGGAAATGAATGAAAACTTCTAGGAGGAAGAGGAGCAGTTAAATAGGAACCTGCTATCTTTAGTCCCTTCGTAAAAACTCCACAATGTTAAATTATTTAAAATCCTAGATTTTCAGCATGCGCACATTAAAAGTTTTCGCACTAAGTGCCAAATGTTGCAAACAGCACTTTAACAGAATGATTTTGCTTTGATCCCTGTAGCAGTTCCTGAATAATTTATCACAGGTTATTGCCTTAATTCTGGAGAGGGATAGAGCAATAAAGGCAGATGAAAACACTCCAGTTGAAACACCTTGGGGCCTGCTCATTCCTCTGACACGGCTCTTTTGTTGGAACTATTTAGAGGTTATTAAGATGTGTCTCCAGAATTAAGAGTATGCTGTAAGGATGAAGACAGCCATCTTAATTCTAAAGACAAAGCACAATGACCCTTCACCTTCTTTTTCTTTGTTGTTATTATATAGTAGAATTATGAGGATAATATTATAGCTGCCCCCAGTAGTGCCACTACAGTAAAGGGTCTGTCAGACTTTCCATTAGAAACCCTGTTTTGGAGGTCAGGGTGGAAGGAGCCGCATTTCAACTGTTTCCCAGCCCATCCGTCTCACACTTGGCACACAGACGGCCGTTCACCATGCAGGAGACTGCAGCACCCAGCAGTTTCTCCTTGAACTATCCAAAAAAGGAATCCTTAGGATTAGATACCCCAGACCTGCCCACTCCCCCAAACAGCCTCACTTTATAAGGACCTCTCATTTTTCAGGTCAGTCAAGTGTTGACTAACTGTAGGAGAAAGGCAACTTTTGAAACAAACCTCTTTGTACTGTTTTAAGTGAGATGGTAAATTGTGGCTCTTCCTCCCCTAAATTTCAGATCATCCCTTGATCTCTGAGATTGTTTGATAGCCTGGGTGAGCTCCTTGTTAACAGTTTTCCTGGTCTCGTACCAGAACTGGGTATCTTTTGACTGTCAAGAAAGTACTTCCTTAGTGTTGTCTGAGTGTCTGTATAGATTATTACAGTACTCTTGCTGCTTTGAGATAAAAGATTGTTTGAGCGTGAGAGATCTGTTTCTCACATTAACACTGCATTTTCCTGCTCAGTCGAATCTTTTGAAAACATATTTAGTTATTATATTGTCATATGCTTCCTCTGCTTTGGAGTAACATTTTCTAAAATGGATATAATTTCATAGATTTGAGTCAGTTAGAGCCCTTCTGTTAACTTGGTGTCTCTTAAGAAAAAAATTTGTGATGAAATAAATATTAACCTTTTTGTGTAATAAGGATAGCCTAAAATATTTTAAGAGCCTTTTGCACTAGACACAAAGTAAAACTTATCGCTCCTGTTGACCGATTTAGAGTTGAATGGTGATGAGTACCTTATGTATATGTGAAAACTGAAGATTATTCGAAGAGTAGCCTGTAATTTGTAAGTGTACATAATAAAAATAGCATCAAAAAAGGCCACTGTAATAGAAAGACTACAAAGAGAATTAGAATAGAATTGTTCAAAGACTTCTTAGAAGACATATTCTGTTCTGGAAGCTGCAAGAAACGTGGAAAGCTGAGAAAGAGGAGAATAGGTTCCAGGTGATGAAAACAGGTTACATAAAAGGCAAAATGGTTTAAAGAAAAATAGCAGTCACAGAAGAGAACTACACAGAGAGACTGGCCGATTATAGAAAAACAAGGACTGGTGAGATTATGAAAGGAAAAAGAATAAGTTATTTAAAGAAGCAGAAACAAAAGTTCAGGGTTCACAGATTCAGAAATTCAGATTACCATCATTCTGTAAGCTGTTACACAGTATAGAAACTGAGTATTCTTATAAACAGCTTCCAGTTATATTGAGTCACCTTTTAGGTATGGGGCATTGGGGAAGGGGGATCAAAAATTACAGATACTTGTGACATGAACTATTTCCTACTTTGAAATTTTTGTAGTCATTAAGATGAGGGTCAGCATTCACTTCCAAGTCCTTAATTATAATTTAAACGCCTTCCTAAAGAGACTTTCATTTATTACTAAAGTGTGCGGAAAAGAAAATCTGATAAAATAGTTCAGAGACCATTTTCTGGCAGAATATTTCCACTGAAAACAGTATCTTCAGAAATCACAGTTGCATATCTCAATTATCCCACCCCCTTGTTCTGCAATTATGTTTATTTGTACTCTTTGTTCTGACATTCTAGCATCTGTTCATGGGTTTTCTTTTTCACTTCCCAAGCATCTTCCTAAGGACAGCTTAATTAAGGGTCCAGAGTACGAGTCAGATCTCTTCCATTTAAGAGTCAAGTTTTCATTTTGTTTTGTTTTGTTTTCTCTAAAACTAAGTATTTATGGAACACTTATGTATGTATCAGGCTCTTCTTAGGCATTTTTATATAAATTTATTAAATTTATTCCTGACAGTGCCTCTGTGAGAGAGGCATTATTAGCCCCTTTCAGAGATGAGAAAACTGAGACTGATAATTTGCCTTGCCTTAAGTCTTACAGTTAAGAAGTAAAGCTGGGTTTAAATTCAAGTCTTCCAATATTGAGTGTAGAAGAACTCTTTTCCTTAAGTCTTTTCCTTGCTTGGGGAATGTGAATGCCATTCTGGGTATGCCACAGTACCAATAGGTCATCTGGCCAGTTGCATTTTGTCCTAAGTTACTAAAGATATTCCTTAGGGATCTTTAAATGCCAGTGTGCTTTCAGGTTAGACTCCAGATTGCACAGTGGGACTGATTTCTTGCAAGCCAATGTGGTTAAGATTTGTTGTTATTAAATAATGTCTATACCCTGTACATTTCTGTTTCGTGGAATTATCAATACTCTTTTTTTTTCTAATTTGGCGTTATTCAGAAACAAAGTATGTTAGGAATCTAAATGTTTCTAAGCTATTGGAATTATGACTCAGCTCAATTTATAAGAAGCAGAGTTGGTCAGCAGATTTGAAGGTCTGTTTGCTTAAAAAGTCTATGACTTTCTATAGAAAGAGATCTGAGCGAGACATTTTAGCTAATGAATCAAAATCAGATATGTGGTCATTATTGCCTGATTATTACTCCATCTGCTCTGTGCTAACGTGAAAATCAATTACTGTGTCTCTTTCCCACTGACAGCGTCTGTTGATCGGGCTGGCAAGAGATCTTCGAGGGATTGCCTTTGCACTGAACACAAAGACCAGCTACACCATGCTGTTTGACTGGATGTATCCTTATTACACTGTGACAATACCAGCTCTGTGCACAGAGGGATGCCAGGCCCCTGGCTTTCGTTTAATAGTATGGCACAGTAGGGAAGAGGAAACAAAGCTAAATGAACTAATGTGTAGTCAGCTAAAGATTACAGCACAGTGGCAGCAGCACAGGTAACTGAGCACAGCATTTGGAGGCCCAGCTCAGAGAGGCCACTGTTTTGGTGCCATTAAATATTGACACCTTAAAAAATCACATCCCCAAATGATTGTTTATGTTGGGGTTGCAGGGATAATTGGGCTGAGGTCTCTAACTCAAGATCAATGGATCCTACCATTTGTCATTTTCAAGGAAATTTGGATTCCTACTCTATCTCAAATAGCAGAGCTGAGGTCACTTTGTCTCTCTGAGGCTCAGTTTATCATGCTGTAGTTTTTCATCCTCATGAAAATATTAATGGACATGAAAAGGGGGAAATAAATCGTTAGGATTTTCATTTGATATAAAATTTGAACTTACCTTTGCCAAGGCTTAGTACAGACAGCAAAACAAATAAACAAGGAAACAGACATCCCCCCACAGAAATGCCTCATCATTAACAGTAAAAAGATTTGGTGTTAGGCAGACCTGGCTTGAATTCCTAACTCTCCATTTGCTGTGTAAACTTTGGCAAGTCTTTTCACCTCTCTGAGTTTCCTCATCTATAAAAGGAGACATCCAGTATCATGGCCTATTGTAACCATTGAAATAGGTAACGCACTTTGTATAATGTCTAGAACATAATAGGTAGTCATAAATGGTTACTATTCATATTGTTTTAACAATATTATACGAATCCTCTTTGATCTTAACAGAAAGTGATAGTTTATGCAAGTCATGTAAGTGTAACATATGTTTTCATGCCTTTATGCATGAAACCATCAGAGCACGTAAGAAAATTCTGTAACCTTAAAGTTATTTTTTAAGTTACATTATTTGTCAGTTGCTCTTTTCAGACCCTTCTTATCATAAATAAGAACTTCCCTCATGAATTGAATTACAAAAGAAACTTCCCTCATAAATTAAATTACAAAAGAAACTTCTTAAAGGCAGTCTTCAAGTACTGATGACACAGTTATGGCCGAAAACATAACGAACAGGATCTGGGCATGTTTCAGGGAGAACGCTACACATTAAAGAAATCGTTTAGCATTAATTTTGAATACTTACTTACATTTTTACTTACTATTAAAACCTACCTCATCAGATTTATGTGCCCATAGAAGGGTTAGAGATAAGAATTTTCCATGCCGTTTAGAAATCATGTATGTCTTTATATCAGCTTACAGAGTACGTGTACAGAGATTGTAGATTTTAACATGGAAAGTCATACAACTCTTTTAACTGTGCAGAATAAACTGGAATTACGTATGACCCTTTCATTTCTCTAAACATAAATACAAGCTCACAAAGCAAAAACTTTAATTTATTTGAAATATTGTAAAAACCTAATTTTAGCACTTTAAAATTGATGGTGATCTTGAAGCCAGCCTACAACTCTAGGAGGTCCAGCAATTAATGCTTCACGTTTTCCTCAGCAACAATCTTAACTAAGAGTTCAGATAAGAACTTTCCTCTTAGCATCAAAGAATAGAAATATCTGTCGTAATTGATACTGCCTAAAATTTATAGAACATATTGTAATTTAAGTTTTTAATTAAGTCTGTTTTCCATTTCCTCACTTTGCTCCTTCTTTTGGGCACCTATCTGAAATGAAACTTTTGTCCAGCAGATGGCAGAAAATAGCAAACGGAAAACCTTGGGACTTAACTTTTGTTTTGGACTAGAAACCACTGTCTCCTCCATCTGACTGTAGACGTTGATGTTATTAGGGTCAGGGACGGAGGGCCAAGTGTCAGTTATGCAGGAAGTTATGTTAGATCGCCAAACGGGATGGCTTGGTACCGGCCTTGCTTATAATAAGTGAGTTTCAGTAGCAAATCAGCTTCCTTGGGAAAAGGCCAAAGGCTTTTCATAATTGTATTGACAACAAAATGAATATGATAAATGGTGTTCATTCAGTTGAGGCAAGATTTATAGTTTTCCCTTGAGCAAGGGATAAAAGAGCAAATATTTATAATAATAGTAAAATTTGTTTAAAAGTTACATTATTTGATAATTCAAAGAGCTTTATTAAAATATTTCGAAATACTTTAAGCAGTTTCAGGTGATACAGTACAGATTCTTTCCAAAGTATTCTAGTAATGTAAAAATGAGCAAGTATATGATTAAAAAAAAAAACATGGATATGAAAGTCGTTTATTCTTCCTAAAATATTGATATGTCAAACCATCAGTGATGATTCTAGTATTACTGCTGGAGAAAGTTTATTTGCCTTTTATCCACATAAATGTGTGTGCTTTAATTTGCTGTATAGTCCTTAGCATACAGAAGAAACATCCTATAAGAGCACATGTCATCTTAAAGTCAAAATGCATTTTATTTATCGTGATTATTTGATAAAATGCTATTTTAGTGGTTAGCTATTTAATTTAAAAACATTTCTATAAACACTGACTGCATTAACTGGTACACGGACTACATTGCTTATCACTCTGTCCTTCCAAACCTAAATTGCCTGAAACTACACAGCAACCATGTTGATAAATTGTCCCACTACTGGAGAACAGAAGAAGAATCACTGCTATTTCTTTGCCCCTGTAGTGAGAATGCAACAATATAAAAGCACCTTACCTTGCACTGTATTTAGTCCCCTTGTTTAAACTTTTTCCAGATCATACTTAAACTTAAGTATCAAAAACCCAGCGGGAAATTGGAAAAAAATAAGAGAATGTGTAGGATGCTATTTCCTCACACTCATTCTTTTAATTGTCATAATCCTGATCTTTGAGTACACTGTTTTTCAGTCACGCAGTCAGTGCTGTTGTTTAATACGAATAAACACATTTTACAAAGACAAGACAAGACAAAGAGATTTGTAGGGGAAAAAAAAAGAACTTTGGAATAGGACAGTCTTAGGTTCCAGTCCTGGGTTCACCACTTAACAACCTGTGGGGTTTTGGGTAAATTACTTAATGTCTCAGAATCACAGTTTTCTCCTCCATGAAACAGGGCTAATAATACTTGTATCACAGGTATGTTGTAAGAAGTGAGTGAACTGACATATATAAAGGGCCTAGTACAGTGTCTGGCACAAAGTAAATATACCCCTCCACTGTTGTTAGTTCCTTTCCCTAATATGGAATGAGACAAAGGAATCCGATTTGCTCACTTATTCAGCAAATTTGGCTAAGGACTGTCCTAGGATTCATGAGGGATGTAGATTTCTTACACTCAAATCCCACCCCAAAATGATGTTACAGTTTAATAGAGTCAGTTAGGTATCTACCTAAACAACTGTAATAAAATACAGAAGGTGATAAGTGCCGTAACAAAGATAGAAATAAAGTGATTGCATTTAGCTGGAGCATCAGGAAAGGCTCTGTAAAGGCGAAGATATTTCTTTGGGTCATATCACATAAGTAGGATTGGACTATTGGAACTGTGAAGTAAGAGGTTTTCAGTTGGTCTAAGCACAGGTTTAGGAGGGAGAGTAGTAGAGAAGATATTTTGTTAAAGATACACTTATCTTATGGTTGGACGCGCAGGTTGTCTGGGACCCTTGAATATCAGGCTAAGGAACTGAGACCCTTATTCCATAGATGATATAAAGCAATTGACGATTTTGACTGACTAACAGAATCAGAATTGTATTTCAAGAAGAGAATAGTCATCAGTATGTTGGACAAACTGAAATAGGGAAGAAAGTAAACCTGAAAAATTGCTGTTCAAAAAGCGTATGTTGAGTGCATTGTGCCAGGCATGAGAAATGAATAAAATGATTGCTTTTTATAAGAATTAATAAAATGGATCGTTCCTTAGAAGCTCATAATCTAGTGGCCATAACAAATAACTAATAAACCATCAATGTATTGTAACGAAGATGCATGCAAAGGACCATGTGAACATTTAAGAGGAAGAGATTGGTATTTGGGGCAAAAAGTAGGCTTCCCAGGGAAGTAAAAGTTGAGCTAGGTGTTGAAAGACGGATAGGCATTTGCCAGACCGAAAGAGAGAAGGCTTCCCAGCAGCATTTGCCTCCATGAACAAAGGTATAGATGTTTCACGTTCAAGGAACACCTTTCAATTAAGCTCTGAACTAGCAGGCTATTTCTGTTCTGGAACCACATCCTCACACTCTTATCTCCTAAAATTTTTAACAGAAACCTCTTTTGTTGCCTTCTAGTATATTAGAATGCTTTCTCTACTGTGAAATCTCAGAGGAAAAGAATTACTTTTTTACTCATTTATGCTTTCTTGGGGTCCAGCACATAGTTAAGTAACTATTTGATGGACGGATGGATGTCATCAAGAAGCAAACCTCATTCTTTTCAGTTTTTCATATTTAGCATCTTATAAGGCAATAGCATATCATTAATTTTTTTATTTTTTATTTATCTGGTGTTGACCTTAGGAATCCATTGGGGAGATCTAGGTGAAAGCAGTTAGATCTGTGCCACTTCTGCCTAAGGTCTCCCACTGTCTTCCTCCTATCCATATATACATAGTTCTCACAAGGCCACTGGAAAATTAAACTCTTAGAGTGGGTTCTGATTCTCACCGTGTAATCTGAGTCTGGCACTCTCACTCTGAAACCCTTTTAACCTCCCTGCTTGGTAGACCTTTACTCTGGTTTCCAGTAATCACTCATTTTCTCTGTGGCAGTCACCTCTGTCAGAAGCATATTAGAGTTGGCACCACTCTCATTCCACACAGAAAAGGGAGCATCCCCTCATATCCCGGGCCTTATCCCATAGTGAATACAGTGTGCTCTGAAAAGTATGATGGTCCTGATGTCTTTAGAATGCCTTGCAAAGGGGCATCTGTGTGCTTATGATATTCTTAGATTCTGAGATTTGGGTCTTTTCAGTCTCCTGATGAGTCTTCCAGATGCTTTCCCACTCGTGATCGCTGAGTTTGTACTCAGATCTCTTGGTGGAATATCTTCTCACCTGTACTCCTCCGGCACTGTTTCAGAATTTTGGTACTCAGAGCATTCCTATTATGTGTGCACCACCCAGACTCAAGCATGAATTCACCAAGAAAAAAAGCCATGTCTTACTTATCACTGGACCCCTGGCACAGTACATAGCACAGAGTATCTACCATCTATCAAAAATAACAGATTTTCTAGTCCATAGAAAAAAATAAAACAGTAAGTTATCTGACAAAATAGAGTTAATAATCAAGTTTATTGATTTTATAGTTTTTATTTTCATCCAACTGAAACCTCATTCACACATATACACTCACTTCTTATCTCCTCTCTCTGCCTTATTTCCTTTGTAGCACTTTCTAAAGGATCTTGTCTATTCTATTTTCTGTCTTATTAGAATATAAATTCCACGAGGGCAGGGATTTTTTTAATGTTTGGTTCACTGATGGCTCCAGAGAGTCTGTAACAGTGAGAAGACATTTATAGAATAGGCCTTCAATAAATACTTAAGTAAATTGTTCGTATATATTCAAATACAGCCTTAACATGGTATATCTAGGGGGACAAAAGTGTTGCTTTTTGCACTTTTAGGGAGCCTGACACTCTTAAGGTATTTAAGGGCTTATTTTCACTAAATGTTATGTGAATTATTTCCTGAAGCTTCAAAGTGAAATGCACAGCTTAAAAGAATCAAATAGGTAGGTCTAATTAAGTATGCTACACCTCATTTTTAGGTTGGCAGGTTTACCACAACAAATGTTTATTGAAATCTATTTTGTGCCAGGTCCGTGCATACAATAAGTACCTATGCTGTGCTCTCAAAAAGCATATAATAGGAGAGATAAGGTGCTATGATAGCACTAACACAGGGTACCAGAGCCTTACGTAGGAGACACACTTAGTCATGGGGGATTAGGGGAGGTGTCACGGAGGCTTCTTGGATAATTGACATGTATATTGAAATATGAGGGACAAACAGGAATTAACAAGGTCATAGTAGGGAAGCACAGGTCTTTGCCCTTGAGAAACTCACTATCTAATGGGGCAGATGGGTAACACAAGCAACCAACCGTAATACAGTTTGTTATAAGAGAGACGTGGTCAAAGTGCTCATTGAACTTAGATGAGGAAGAGATTGATTCCTTTTGACAAAAAAAGAGAACATTTCACCATTCCAGGGGAAGTAAGACTTGAGCTAGATGTTGAAATACAGTTTGGAATGTGTTAGGCAGACAAAGCAGCATATAGAGGAATAGAGACAAGAGAGAGTCGGCATCAGTGGGTTTGCAGAGAATTAAGAATGGCCAAACCATAGATAAGGGGAGGAGCACTAAGAGACGAGCCTGGAGGTAGGCAGGGACCAGATATGCAGGACCTTGTTTGCCATGCTAAGGAACTTGAAATTTATTCTAAGAGCAGGGAAGAAAATTGTGATCTTTTCTCACCATGGAGATCACTACCCATACCACACAGGAAAGGAACAACATGAGGTGATTCCGTTCAGCATTTCCATCTGAAACGAAAAGACAAGTACATTGAAAAACATCAGAAAGGGACAGATTTAGGGATTAGGAAATGAAAAAGGAAATGAAGGTAGTGGTATAGGAAGGGGTTTTTCTGCTGCAGTTTTAGGCCTTAATTTTATATGTCTGTGTCCATTTGTGAGGAGGAGGCCAGTTACGGGTTAAAGGGTCAGTTGAGCTGAGTCAGAGTTTTCCAGGTTCTGGTGGTTTCAGCCATTGACTTAACAGAGACATGCACTCCTTAGTATTGATGAGGGTGTTTGAGAATTTCTCCTTGAGTGTACAAGGGACTACCTTTTAGCAAACTGACCTTGAGTTGAGATTTAAAATTACCCAAAGCTTTTCTTCAAGCTGTCATCCCCAGCGTTCCTTGGGGCTATAGTGGGACTAAGCAGAGTTAAGTCAACAACTTAAAAGAATGTAGATAATTTCTAAGCTGGGAGATAAATGCATGGGCTTTACTATTTCCCTCTACTTTTATGTATTTTAAAAGTTACATAATAAACAACATTTTTTTCTTAAGTAGTTTGATGCCCAACAAACTCTGATAATAGCAATTCACATTTTTTACCCCTCATTAACTAAACTTATTTTCCTTTCCTGCAATATTAAGCATAATTCTTTAAATATGTTACATGATACTTCATAAGTATGCTAAACACAGAACAAATGTGGATTCCTTTTTTTTCTTTTTAAGTGGCACCAATTTTCAGAAACAATATTTCTTTTGACCCTTAAATTCTTTAACAGGCTTTATAAAAGGTACCCAACATATATTCCCATTCTTCAGAGGGCTGTTGAGCAGTGGTATGGAGAGCCAGCATGTACAACTCCCATCTTAAAACTTATGGCAGAACTGATGCAAAACAGGTAAGAGGTAGCATAGGCAAGTGAAAAGGTCATTTACTATTTGGTAGCACTCTTCAGAGGTCAGACTTTCCTGCCTGGTGTCTGTATATTTAAGACTTAGCAAGAACCCAGGAACCAAAACTTAAGATGATCAGTTGAAGGCAGTAGAATTAGAGATATAAGGTTGAGACTTTGGGTGAGAAGGAATTTAGTATACTTAGGTGTATATGGGGACTATGGGAACTGGGAAAAAAATTGGAAGACTGCAGCCACCATTATTTAAAAGATTCAAAAGCACAAGATGGAGGAAGGTAGGTTTTTGTTTTGTTTTGTTTATAAATTTATTTATTTTTGGCTGCATTGGGTCTTCGTTGCTGCGCGCAGGCTTTCTCTAGTTGCAGCGAGCGGGGGCTACCCTTAATTGCGGTGCACGGGCTTCTCATTGCGGTAGCTTCTGTGCAGACCACGGGCTCTAGGTATGTGGGCTTCAGTAGTTGTGGCTCGCGGGTTCTAGATCGCAGGCTCAGTAGTTGGGGCGCACGGGCTTAGTTGCTCCGCAGCATGTGGGATCTTCCTGGACCAGGGCTCGAACTCGTGTCCCCTGCATTGGCAGGCGGATTCTTAACCACTGTGCCACCAGGAAAGTCCCAGGGCAGTTTTAACTGTCTCATTGCTTAACTGCAGTTCTGTAGAGGAGGAAAGGAGTTTAGAGGTCTCTGAGTTGAGATGCTTTATTTTATGGATAAGGGAACTGAGTCCCAGAGCAATTCGTGGACACATAGTTTGTCTCAGAAGCCCTAGGGATTGTTCCTGCCTTGACTTCTAAGTTATCCTTCTTCCTCTGTGCCAAGATGCACATATGTGGATGATTTATGCACTCACAATTTTTATTTAAATAGCAACTACCACACTTCTCAGAAATTGCCTAGGTGACCTTATAATTTGCATAGACAAGCAGAGGTTCAGGTTCTTTGTATATAAATATTAACAAAGGTGTAGCTAAAAGAGAAAAACTGCAATAATATAATTAGTTTTATCTCTTTAAAATATGTCATTATGAATATGGCTTAGCACCAAATTACCTGTCACTTAGCCATACTGTTTCATCAGTTCCTCTTTGTAAATTGCGTGTTGGAAGGGAGATATCCAGACAGGGAAGGAGTATGGGTTGCAACTCTAATTTGATCTATGGTGCTGAGTTTTTCACAGCAATAATTTAAAATTTTTAAAACAAGAGGCGGGAAAAGACCTGGCAATACTCACATAAATAAATGTGAGTATTCTTTTGAAAGCTGTTAGTTTTTTTAAAACTGTTTTCTAGGTGCCTTAAATACTAAACGAAGGGTGGCTATATAGTTTATATTAGAAATTTAGTTTTTATTAAATTACAGTTTTTTCAGCCAGACAATTAATAGTTCATATTACTGATATAACATTTAATACTAAAGGAAAAAATCATTACGTTGTATATTGTAAAGTATTTTATATCTGCCATAGGTGGATAATTCATATCTAGCACAGTTGTCCAAAGAACTACCTGGTAAAAATTTGTAATCCCAGAAAATGTTATCTTGTCTATATTTCTCTGGAACCTAATGTGAATTATGTATATACATTTCTTTAATCGGAATTCTATGCCAACAATCAAATGTTTCCAGTAGTATTTCTAATAAGTTATAATTGCACTTAATTCTGAAGCATTTTGAAAAAACATAGAGAAGCAGCAATTTATTCTATTCCTAGCAACTTATTCTGTTCCTTGGCAAATATCTTTGCTTTTTGGTGTTTCTTTGCTATGACCTATTTCATATTTTTGCTGATCCTTTTAAAAATATACCATTATTTCTTAAAAGCAGAGCAACAAGGTATATTGGAGCCAACTAAAGCCAAAGTGATGTTAAAAAAGCAAATATTATGTCAGGATGGCATGTCAGTCCTTTACACTTTTCAGACTGTTCCCCAACCTGTTAGGAACTAGGGAAGTAGAACTGTTCTTATTTAGAACTTCTGGGATTTGTTTCTCTTTACTTGAGCTATGTTCAATGGAAACTATAGTCTGTATGTAATTTAATGTGTTTGAAATATGCTTGAAGTATCAAGTGATTCATTATGCATATGAGCAGTATTAAAGGTACTTAGATTTCCTGTTATTTTATAATTTGTTTTAAAGATGTGTATTAGGCACTACAGGAGATCTCAAGTGTAAATCTCTATCCAAGTAACTATATAAACTTATACATACTTGGGGTTTTCTTTATTATTATCTATCAACCACTTTGCATGAAAGGAGAGGGGTATAAGAGGTCAGTGATATAGGATGTCAGGATATTGTTTTGACAGATAAAAAGTGAATTCTTTGAATCAGCAAATAAATGAAAATAATTTTATTGTTCTAGTATCTTTATAGTGAGAGAATTAGCACACACATTTTATCAATACTTGTTTAATGGAATGACACTTTAAAAAAGGGATAATTGTACTGTTGCTACTTCTAATAAATGAAAATTCTGGGTATTTTAAACCTATATTTGGTTTTTTTATCTGCACATATAGTCTAAATTTTTGCTGTATTCCTTAGATCCCAGCGTTTGAACTTTGATGTATCATCTCCTAATGGAATTCTTCTCTTCAGAGAAGCTAGTAAAATGATTTGCACTTATGGTGAGTATCCCTTTCCATATTTGTCTCTGCAATATAACTTTTATCTCTTTGGAGGAAAGAATGATGTTAGTTATTTTGTTCTTTTGAACCTTCATATCTGTATGAATTTGTGAAGTGGGTAATAGGGGTGCAGAAAGCCAGGTAGCTATCATATTGACATCAAGAGAAATAAGCAACATGCCTTTGACTACAGATCATGCCTGACCAACTTGATGAATTTCTTTTAGATGAAATTGCGGTGTCAGTAGGCAAAGGGAATACACTGTAGATAGAATATTGAAAAGTTATAGCATATTGAATATTGCTAAAAGTTACATCAGGGAGTTTAGTGTATTGCGTCAAAGGATGCTTAAATCAGTATGTCACCGGCACTGAATTCTGGAAAAATATCCTGGTAAAGAGCAGTAAATATTTTATTGTAGGAAATTTGGGGGCACTGCATCCTAAGAATCAGAGTTCTACAGTAATGATTGTTCTATTCAATTATAGTACCAAAAAATGTGGTTAGTAGTTAGAAATGAGCGTTAGAACTACCACAAACCCTAATATTTGCCACTTCTGACAGCTTCGTCAATGAAATTCTCAACTCTCTGAGACCTTTATGTAGCCAGGGAATGAGGATATGATGCAACAGATAAGAATCCTCTGTTAGTTCACCACAAACTGACTGAATACTAACTATAGGCTGGACACTTTGCATGGTTCTTCTTGAGAGATGTCTCTCTCTGTCCTCCTTTCCTTTGCCCTCTTCTTTTTTGCCTGTCTGGTCTTACCTTCCCAAATCAACAGCCAACTCTATGTTTGGCCTCAAAAATTGCCTGTGATTCTCATACTTCTTTTGGAGTACCTAGAAACAGATTTTACAAAATTTTGTAAAGCTTCTTTGAGTGTGTGTATGTAGGAACAACCATTAAAAGTGTATTAGTTTATTTTGTGTATGGTGTTAGGGAGTGTTCTAATTTCATTCTTTTACATGTAGCTGTCCAGTTTTCCCAGCACCACTTATTGAAGAGGCTGTCTTTTCTCCATTGTATATTCTTGCCTCCTTTATCAAAGATAAGGTGACCATAGGTGCGTGGGTTTATCTCTGGGCTTTCTATCCTGTTCCATTGATCTGTATTTCTGTTTTTGTGCCAGTACCATACTGTCTTGATTACTGTAGCTTTGTAGTATAGTCTGAAGTCAGGGAGCCTGATTCCTCCAGCTCCGTTTTTCCTTCTCAAGATTGCTTTGGACATTCAGGGTCTTTTGTGTTTCCATACAAATTGTGAAATTTTTTTTGTTCTAGTTCTGTGAAAAATGCCATTGGTAGTTTGATGGGGATTGCATTGAATCTGTAGATTGCTTTGGGTAGTATAGTCATTTTCACAGTGTTGATTCTTCCAATCCAAGAACATGGTATATCTCTCCACCTGTTTGTATCATCTTTAATTTCTTTCATCAGTGTCTTATAGTTTTCTGATAGTTTTCTGCATACAGGTCTTTTGTCTCCTTAGGTAGGTTTATTCCTAGGTATTTTCTACAGCAGAAACTAACACAACATTGTAAAGCAACTGTACTCCAATTAAAAAAAATTAAAAAGCATATTACTTTTTAAAAAGTAAAACCTATTTTAAAAAGCAGAAAAAGTTCTTTTAAATTGTTTTTACTTGAACTCAAAATATTCTGGGACTCTGTTCTGTATGCACTGTAAGCCTCTGTTAAAAATGCTTAGTTTTAATTGTACATTTGATTTTTAGAGTTTGAGGTCATAAGTGTATAGAAACTACAGAAAGCACCTATTTAAGACAGTAAATTTAAACTCTCCTATTTTCATCTGTACCAGCAACTATATTGCCACAACTTTTGCATCTGTTGAAAATGGACACATTAGAATCATATAAAGTAGAAATGCTTTGCTGCCCAAAGGTAAAAATGGACCCCTTTTTGAATATTCTCAGTACAGTTTGTTGTGTTTCCAGGGTATATCTAATTCCTTTCAGTGTCTTATCATAAAAGACATATGACTGGAGCTTTTTCCAAAAGAATGATATCTTTAAAAAAACATAGATTTTGGCAATTAAAAGATCTGAGTACCAATTCTAGTACCAACCCATATCAACTCCATGACATTCAGCTAAGACACTACACCTCTTTGGCCTAGTTTTCTCATATGTAAAATTAGAAATAATGAATACCTACTGACCTACCTGTCTAGTTAGGATTAGAGGTGGTTAATTGAGCTACTGTGGGTAAAGGGCTTGGCACAGGTTGTGACATGGCTTAGGTACTCAGTGAATATGCCTTTCCTTGATCCAAAGCCATTCTCTTACACTCACAGAACCAGCCTCCTTTGGATAGGGGTTCACTGACCTCGTCACTTTCTTATTCAGGAATGCCTTCTGTTTGGACCATGCTGTCCTGCTTCCTTCTGCCTGTAACAAGTGCTAAGCGTCTATTTCCTCACTTTTTAAAAAGAAATACTTCCCCATTATGAAACAATGCACGTATAAGAATTTCTTAGTAGTCAGTAGACCTTTAACTATACAAATGTTTGTTTCCTGTTACCAACCACAGTTGTATCTTTCCTTCCCCCTTTTCTGGATCCAGTTTCTTTTACTGAGGCTTACTCACTCTTACAGTAGGGCTGATAAGAGCAGCAACTTCTTCCTCTTCCAGCATCACTGAATCTCTAGTATAGGACAGAATGTTTGTCCAGCAAGTGATACCAAAAGGAATCTCAGGACATCGCCAAGTCTATGGGCTTCAAAAGCTATTCAGTCCTCTGTCAGGTTGTTTAACATAGGCAAAAGCATTGCAGCAAAAGTTGAGAAAGAAAACTGTGAGGATTATATTGGAGGAAGAAGAAGAGGAGGAGGCAGAGGGAGAGAGAGGAAGAAAAGAGAAAGAAAAGCAGAAAAAAGAAAAAGGAAAGAGAAAACCTTCAAAGCATTCTTGAGAAGAAAAGCCAATAAGGAGTTTTCTTACTCTGAAGAAAGACTAGGAGATTAGGGTAAGGTTCTTCTCCTTAGTTTGGACGAATAATAATGGTTGCTTCCATTTTTTAATCAACTATGATGTGCCTGCTCCTATACTAGACCATTAATCATACATTAGCCCATTGAATCCTTAAGGTAAGTATTATTAGCTGCCACTCACTAGTCACTTGGCCTCGGTTAAGTTGCTACGCCTCTCTTGCTTCACTTTCTTGTTAAACAGAGAAAATAATACCTACTTCATAGGGTGGTTGTGAGGATTCAATTACATGGTGCATGGAAAGCCCTTAGATCACTTAGCTACTGTGATTACTGTTATGAAGAAATTGAAGCTCATAAGAAGTTAAAGAGTTGCCAGATATTACATAGTTAGCAAATAGTCAAATTGGAATTTCATTCAAAGTCTGTATAACTTCAGACAGTAGTCTTTCCATGTTCCTCTCTGCCACTTGAGAGTTGCCACACAAAGTTGGGTATTTTTGATGAAGTACTGTTCTTTAAGTATGGTGATTTCTATCCTAAAACTTAAGGAAAATGAAGGCTCAATGGAAAAATGTCCTTCAACTTTGTCACCAGTGACTTTGACACATGCGCTTTACATAGAATGATAGAAAACTCTTTTTCAGCCTTCACTGATTCCACATGCTGGCCTCAATCAGCCGAGCTGATTTTGTCTGTCTTTACCTGTGTAATGTTTTATTACCCATGCTTTTACCTCTGGAGATTCTAATATGCTCACTGAAGGGAGATCCTATGGTTGCCATCCAGGAGTCTAGAAGATGAGGAAAAGAATGACTAGGAGGGTACAGAAGAGCCAACATTATTTATTTCCGTGGTAAGCCAAGGTGAAGGAAGGGAGAGCCCATAGAAGAAAGGGGCCAGAACATTCTCTGATCCCTTCTGTTCCCATCCTCGCTGGGTTCCTTCTCTGCTCACCTGTCATGGGCAGTATTTGTGTAATCGATGATTGGGGCAGTTCAGAGGGGGGAAGAACTCATTTCCACATGCACCTGATTCGTTATATATTTTATGGGATACCTCCACCTCGCTACTCAATGAGACTGGCAGAAAAATAATACTTTTGATATGCTGTTTTATTTATCTACATTCTGTCATGATATACTTTGATGTAAGTTTTTAATTTTGCCTCAGCTCTCAGCTGCTCTCGCCGTTACAGCTCAGGGTCAGCAATGAGGTTAGCCACAGTAGCACAAAACAATTTCCTGTTTGTGCAGCCCAGGTAGCATTTGGATGAGGATTAGATTTTACCACATTTTCTACTAGCCCAAGCCTATTATTTCTAATGAGTTTTAAATTGCTTCAAGAACATGTATTTCAAAATTTAGTGCTATGATCCGTTCAGCCTGAGCAACTTAATAAAAGAAATTTCTTTCTTAAATTTTTGGTTAAAATGTTGCATTCAGTGTAATAAATGTTATTACTTTGGAAACCTACTTCTCAGTTTTAAGAACTGGTTGGTTTTTATGCTCAATTTCCATTTGTCTAATCTTTTCTTCCCTTTGCCTCTGGGTAATGGTATCTTTAGTGACATCTGTTGGTTAAAGAGTGCGCAGAAGGGGGAAATAGTGGTTGTTTTTATAAGACTGGCAAAAATGGAGCTGCTTTTATTCCTTCCTTAGGTACCTGATTTAAAGAAAGCTCAGTGTGTGAAAAATCTAAACTTTAATAGTGGATAGAACAACTATAATTATTCACTGTACATAAGAATTTACATCAGGGTTCTTTTGAGCAATATATGCTCCAGGTGCATTTAAGGTATGATCTAATAATATGCTTAAATTGAATTTGTAAACTGATATACAAGCCACTGTTATTTACTATGACCTAGAAAACAAACCAGTGGTTTTCCAACTGGGTTTTTCAGAGCCCTAGAGATCTGTGAAAGTACCACAGAGCCTCTCCAGAGAGGGGGGAGGAGGGGACCCTACTGCCACTTTGACCAGAACCACCCAGCTATATATAGTTGCACTAGATTTATTTGTAATAGGGGTCACCTGCTTAAAG